AGAACCCTCATAAGCCTTAATGTAACAGTAACTATCTAAATTTAATTGTAACTTTTCAAATAGAAGAGGGAAATGGTTTAAAAAGGCGTTCTCTATTCATAAAAATGTGTTACAACGAAAGCTTTCAGTTTCTAGTTTAAAGCCTTTTAAAGCTGAGATATCTGCGCGAGACAGAATGAAGCAATGTGCAATGAAAGTAAAGCAAGCTTGAACATTATCTTGACATGATAAAAAGGTGTTCTCCATTCAAAACATTTCTTAAAACGCAAGCGTCCAGCTTTCTGTTTATAAAATCTTTGAAAACTCGGATGTCATTGCCCAAAAAATAAATGTAAATATGCCAAATGAAAGTTTTAAAAATCTATTTTCCCTTTAGTTTCCCGTTATTGATTTTGACACGTAGTTTCTTTCGTGTTTCTCAGAAGTTTTTAGACTTTAGGCCACAAAGTTACTTTTTAAGAAGTGTTTTACCGCAGAACGCCCTTCTCTTGCATAAATATGCGTATTAGTGCTAAGCATATTACAATTTACCCGATCTTTTCTGACACAAAGGGTATCTATGTGATTTGCAAGCACCATTCTTTATTCTGGATAAACCAGCCGGAAGATAAGCACAGGCTAGATCATCAACGTCCCTCGTTGGATGTCCTGACATCCACAACGAGTCATTCAAAGAAGTGCCATCAAACCACGTCCAGTCATCATATTGACCTCTCATACCAATGAAATAGTTGTTATGACTCGAACGGTAGGATCTGATTCCTTCTAACACAACAGAGAAAGCACGTCTTAACCCTTCCGTTGAAATCTTTGCCAGAGTACCTCCTTCAAAATTGCACCTTTCCAAGGCTTGCTTCCAGTTTACTTTGTTGTCGGCATCTAAGGAAAAGCAACCCCCATGGAATGGAAAAAAGCTGGGACTGCACCAAGAAGAAGAAACTACGAGAAAAAACAAAACAATCCGATTAATTGTTTTTTTTTGACTTTTTAGTTAATTTAGATATCAACAGTAGCCTAGAGATAATAAACTAAGGATGAGGTTATTGTAATATCATCATTCAATAATTTCTTTAACCTTTTATAAAAACATGTAGAGATCCCAGTAAAGATTTAAGCGTCAAACAGGGAACCAAAAATTAAGTGATATCAGTCTTGACGTAAAACGTCAAACTACCTGATTATGTCTTAAATAAGGAATTGAATGGAAATAAGTTCAGTCACAAACCTAGAAAGGCGTAGACGCGATTCGCCCAAGCTCCTCCTTTTCCGTCACCTTTGCAATTATCACTCTTGCCATATCTATCAAAAGTCTTCTCGGCTGTTACACTGCCGTAACACTCCCCGCCATACTGAACTGAAAACATGCGGAAGCCCCTTTTGCGAGCCACTATAGCGCATTTTTCGATAGAGTTCTTGCGATTTTTGTGCCATCCTGTCAATAGCGGATCTTTTCCTTCGAGTGATGCAATTGCACGCGAGCGGCGATCTCTGTAGCATCCAATATCGATATAATCTATTTGAAATGTAAGCAATTTAATTATTACGCAAAACCGTTAATTAGAGACATTTCTAGACGTGCAAACGTGAGCTACAACTGACTAGTAAGCGATGATAGGCCAAAAATAAAGTTGCATATCCGACACACCCAAAATTTTCGAACAAATGGAAAATGACTGAAAAGTTTCGATTCGAGAATCTAAAACAAAACAAGAAAAAAATAATTTGATTAGACTGAATTGTACTATTTAAATGAACTTGATAAAAAATAAATTCTAGAGTCATTTGGGGACATTTATTTTCCGGAAACTAAAAACTCAAGTGTTTTACGGTTCACAAATATCAAGCCACTAAAAGTGTACGTTCCAACCGCTGAAAAGTATATTACGGAAACAAACTTGTGGAATTTATTAGCAACATCATTGACTCCTATTCAAGTGTAAAACATGGTATCATTACATCCATTAACGAACCTCGAATGATGTAAACATTGTTTGCCCATGATCCTCCTTTTCCATCGGCTTTGCAATCGTTACTCTCATTATATCTGTTGAAAGTATGTTCTGCCGTTGCGCCGGTCATGCACTGCCCACCATATTGAACAGCAAACATGGTGAATCCTCTTTTTCGAGCTGCAAGGGCACACTTTTCAATCGCTCTCGTACGCACATCGAACTTCTCGGCAGAGATGGGGTCTGCTCCTTCAAGTATTGGAATTGCTCGACGAGGCTTATCTGCGTAGCATCCGACACTTCTATATTCCACTGAAGGTGCAGATACTTCCAAACGTTTAAAAAAAATGAAAATCTTACGGAACAGCCATATAAAATAGGTTAACAGCTAAAGAAATTCATAGGTGAGGTCTACCGATGTTGAAGGCATGATGTATCATTGGCATATCTTATGTTAGGTTGCTATGGAGTATCGTATTACGCTGCAGCACTTTTCGATTTTAACTGGATTTTGTACAGCTCTGTGGGCATCATAACTGACAAGTAAATTAAACCTACTTACCAGTTTTATTACATCGTATTTTAGCCTTCATGATTTGATCCACAGATAATGCTTGATCATAAAACTGCAAGCAAGAAATC